CGCTTATGCTAGGCCTGTTGCTTATGCTAGGCCTGTTGCTTATGCTAGGCCTGTTGCTTATGCTAGGCCCTACGCTGCCCCAGTCGCCGTAGCCCATGCTCCCGTCGCCGTAGCTGCTCCTAGGGTTGAGCCATACGATCCTCATCCATCATACTCCTTCTCTTACTCCGTCAACGACCACTCCACCGGAGACTCTAAAGGACAACATGAGACCCGTGAGGGAGATGTCGTCCATGGAAGCTACTCTGTTGCTGAACCTGACGGTTCCATCAGGACCGTAGACTACACCGCTGACCCAGTAAATGGATTCAACGCCGCTGTACATAGAGATACAGGAGCACATCCCACTCCAGTAGCTGTCGCTCACGCTCCAGTCGCCGTCGCTCACGCTCCAGTCGCCATCGCTCATGCTCCAGCTTATGGTTATCACTAAACAATCTATGTTCACTAATGATACCTGAGAAGACTATCTGATTTAAATGCCGACTGTATGTGATTGATTTTAATCCTATTGATTATGAGGAGTTATTTTTTATATAAGAAATATACGTTTTCAAATGTTTATTTTTTAAATTGTTTCATAAAAATCCAACTAACATATGAAATCCTAATAAAATAATTTATATTTATACCTTAATTTTATATATATATATATATATATATATATATATTATATATATATATATATATATATATATATATATATATATATATATATATATATTTATTAATTATTTATTTTTTCCCTATGAGGTAACCCCACATAAGGATCGTTTATTTGATTCGCCTTCATGGTCCATGCCTTAAATGTATACTACATGAAATTACAATTGTTCTTACAATTGATGATATTCTTTTTTAGTCTGTCTTGAATTTAGTAAATAACTTATGTTCCGTCTCAGGCTCATTACTATTTTTGATAATTATGCTGTTTATTAAATCAAAGCGTTGTCTGTCAAATCGATTACAGTCATGTATTGTATGTATAGACTTTTTAACCATTCCGTCTTCATTGCATAAATCTGTTTGTAAAAAGTTGAATCTTTTAAGATATTGTTTTGTTTTTTGTATTTTCCATCCACAAAGTACTTGCATAAGTTTGTAGTCAGTGCTGTGAATGCGTCTGTAATTGTGATGTGTAATTTATGGTATAAATCTGTGCAACCTTTGTGACTTGATAGAGGTCATCCATATTTGATCCCATTTTTTGATAAAATCCATCTTAATATGGGATAAAGGAACTTGATGACATGGAGACGACAAATCGCTTTTAGCTGCTTCTTTTGGATGGTTATCGTCTCGTTCAAACTCTCAATCCCACCCATTATCGATTTTAGAGTCACTACTTTCCCTACAGTTTTCAGTATTAATAATTGGTTTATAATTTGGTTAGTCAGGTAATCGTGAATGTTTAAATTATTGACCGAGACAAGTAGAATTTTGATGTTTGTATTTATAGTTACATGTGTGTTCGTTTGTAGACGATATATATATATATATATATATATATATATATATATACATATTCGGACACTTTTAAACAGCGAATTTTTCTGGGTGGTTATTCGAGCCATATGATTATAATATATATATATATCTTCTATATTCCTATCACCTAGAGCTCTAAAGTATTTTGATAGGTGATTTTTGGTCGCGTCCATAAACTTGTTTCAGGGTGTAGAAAAGATTTACAGTCAGTGATTTTTTCTGTTTTATCCACGGTGAGATCTTTGTATCCTTTCATTCCTTTTCTAATGCTAAATAATGTCCGTTAAAAAAAAAAAAAACGATGTTAATAAATTGACCAGATCGATGGAATGGGAGTCAACGAAAACAAATTAGTACAATAATCTACCAATTCATTAATATAGGAACTTACTCCTTTTTCGAACTCGACTGTTTCATCAAGACCGCAGATTACATCGCTGGCCCATTCAATTGATTCAATACCGCTATTTACAGAGAAAGGAGCTGACCCCAACTCCAGCAGCAGTCAGCTCATACTCCAGCCGCTGTAGCACACTTTCCAGTCTATGATGTCACTAAACAAACTGTTTTCGCTAACTAGTCCTGAGAAGACTAGAATTATGATTTTAAAGCCAACTTTTTGTGATTTATTATAATCTTATGTATTGTACGATATTATGTATTGTGTATGGAAGAAATATTAAACGTTTTTAATTTTTTTTTTTTTTGTTGTTGTTTAATAAGGATCCATCGATAAAATCGATTCCTGATAATATACAGGCCGTAAAATTAAATGTATAATTACTTATATGCTCACAAGAATTGTTGCATTGAAGTCAGCGTAATACGAATTATAGCATATTATACAATTTAACTACCCTTTTCCCAAAATAATAAAATGAAATAATAGGTGAAATGCAATAAAAATCTTTCGTCAAAATATTCAAAATCACCTATTAATAAATAGAATATCATAGGGACAGAATACATGAAATCAAAGCACATTTCCTACGTTTCTTCTTGTATTTTTTTTTTTAAAGAAGTTTTTTACTTTACACATTGAGTACTTTACACTGTTTAAAATAACGGCAAAGGTTTCACGATTTACAAAAAACACCGAAAACATGGTTATACATTATTCTTTTATAATAAACAGAATTAAAATATAAACAAACCAGTGAATTTAATCATATTGAAGGGCATAATAGAATAGCACAATGGTTGAGAAAATGAACATATTAACAACGGGAGGTCCCTGTCTGTGCGTAAACCGATTTGAACCAACTTATTTTGGGATTAAACATACAAAAAGATACTAAACACATGAGCTGGTTTCGTTACAATGGGCCTTAGGGGCAAAAAAATATGTTTTTTTATTTATTTATGTTATTTACAACTGTATTAGTATAAATAAATCAAGTAAATGTGCATTTGATGGTTTAGTGGAGCCCCATAGCGCAATTCCATGAGTCTGAATAGGCCTTATTATGGTCATGTATATAAATATTTTGTAATTAATTGGAAGTTTAGAGCGTTTGTCTACTAGGTGTTTTAGTAAGCGGAAATGTATAATGATTTCAAGTGAGAGGTTTGTAAAAAAAAAAAAAAAAGAAAAATCCAATTTTCCTTTTTCCTTTCAATTTCATTCCTAGGTTATTCCTAGTAATGATTCCTTTTTTTTTTTTTTTTTTTTTTTTGTGCGAAACGATGAAAAATATTTGCTGTACTATTAAATGAGTTATAATGAATCATACATTATAAAATCCAAAAGAGTCTCCTAGGTAAGCAGAGGAAAAAGTTTTTATTATGAAAGAGCAAGATATTTCCGTTTTTGTGTTTTGTACAATTTTTAAATATTATTTTTATAGTTATAAACAATAAGAACTTTAAAATTTATTTTTCTTGGTGCATTTTTTTCGATCGTTAAATGAAGAATTAATAAATTCTCAGAATTTTCTCCAAATTAAATCTTAATTCAACCGTTGCAATACTGAATTATTGCATTTGCAAAATATAATAGTTTTTACATTTTATTCCTTTATAAGGTATAAGTAAAAAAAAAAAAAAAAACGGGAAAAAAGTACCTACACAAACGTTTTTACTACAATTTTATCCGGTGTTTTTATTTCATATTCTTTACAGGTGATCTGTGCAGATTAACCTTACCGGTATTCCTGAACGTGTGTGCCCGCCCGAAGGTTTTAGTGTTCACATTTTTATAGATATTAAAGTTTATATTTAAGAATTTTAAAGTACACTAAAAATGAATATTACTTGATTTTTCATAACGAAAATTGACTTGAACTATTTTACTGGAAACGTCTTTTGGTTTTTATAATTCAAAATTAGTTATAACTCATTGAAAATATTTTCTTATTCTGCACAAAAAAAAGAAAAAGTGTTTAATTACCTAGTATCAGAGGAAAGCAAAGGCAAGAACAAATGACATATATGTATATTTTCGAATTATAGTAAACATATTGGAAAATAAATGTTATAAACTATCGCTTTGTTTTATTTAAGCTTCAATTAACTATGTTTCAAGGTCTATGATTTGTAATTGGAGAATAAAAGTAATGGACGAAGTCCCTTATTAAGTATAATGTTGATAAAAAAACGCATTCTAAATCGTAAGAGGTCGATCAATAATTTGATGATATTAATAATCAAATGTATATAAATTTTGATTGTATTTATGAAGTTTTTAGAAATAGGTAAATGTCACCGAGCTTTGTATTTGGTTATAATTACTATAAGAATAAAGTTAAGATGAAGATGGATTGTATTCGACAATGAATTTAAAACTCTCGTCTATAATAACAATATTGATCATTCTTTTTGTTTTAAGAAATAAAAAAAAAATATTGATTTTTATGTTAATTTTTACCTACAAATGTACATCAAAATGGAACTATTCACAACCAATTTCAACAATAATGTTAAACTAAATTTATCGTGATCTTAATAAACTAAATAACATAATTTCTATATAAAATATCAATTAAGGACCATGAATTTTTTACTAATAACAAAAATCATTGTTGCGAATAAAATTTGAAAAAATACAACAAAAAGAAAGACCGACATTTTTGTCAATATCACAACAGTAATAATAGTGTTGAAATAAATTTGTTTCGTTATAACATTAAGGAATTAAATTATCGAGTTTCAACGTCCACTACAACAAATGTTCATAATCAAATGCTTACTGATTGCAATTGATATATTTTATCATTCAAATATGTCATATATTCACTGTTTAAAGCTGAACAAACATTATTTGAGGGTCGAAAATTTAGACACATTTAAGTATTGTTAATAGTTTTTCCTCATAAAAATATTATACTATAAAAATTAAAAAAAATCAATTAAATTACCTACGAATGGCCTGCCAGTTGAATAATAACCTGTTCATTATTTTCTTCTTGTCATTACAGTCTCAGGTTCAAGGGAACTGAATGTAGTTTGACGACCGATTGCTTACAGCCAGCTATATAAGCCGGTCCTAGTCATTAGAGAGACAGTATCCAACCATGGCAAGACTAGTAAGTATCTCTCAGAAGAATATAATAGATATATAGATATTCTTGCATTTCGAAAAGTTCTTATTTACTATTATTGTTACAGGTACTCCTTATCGCCGCCTTCTTCGGGCTTGCTTCCGCATTCCCCCAATATGGCTACCACGCTCCAGTCGTCGCCCATGCTCCAGTGGCAGTCGCTCACGCCCCAGTCGCTTACTCGAGACCAGTCGCTTACGCCAGACCCGTAGCTTACGCAAGACCTTATGCTGCCCCAGTCGCCGTAGCCCATGCTCCCGTCGCAGTAGCAGCCCCCAGGGTTGAACCATACGATCCTCATCCATCATACTCCTTTTCTTACTCAGTCAACGACCATTCTACCGGAGACTCCAAGGGACAGACTGAATCCCGTGACGGAGATGTCGTACACGGAAGCTACTCCGTGGCCGAGCCCGACGGTTCCATCAGGACCGTAGACTACACCGCCGATCCAGTTAATGGATTCAACGCCGCAGTCCATAGGGAAGCAGGAGCACACCCCGCTCCAGTAGCAGTCGCTCATGCTCCAGTCGCCGTCGCACATGCTCCAGTCGCTGTAGCACATGCTCCAGCTTATGGTTATCACTAAACATTTTGTGTTCACTAATTAGACCTGTGGTGGCTAGAGTTATAATTTCAATGTTGACTATATGTGATTTAATATAATCCTATGGATTATACGATGTTATATATTTTGTATAGAAGAAATATTATACGTTTTTTAATTACTTATTTTGTCGTTGTTTAATAAGGATCCAGTCATAAAAAGAAATCCGAATAAATTAAAGTTTTTATTATAGAATACTTATAAGCCAAGAATACTTTCTCAAAATGAAGTAATAGGTGAGATACAATAAAAATCTTGAGAATAGATGTTGAAAATCATCAGTTAAAAAAAATAATATCTTAAGGATAAAATAGATGAACACCAACTTTGTTTCCTTGTTTTCCCATTGTGTCTTCATTTGTTGAAAAGTTGTAAAAGTGAGGTTGGCAATTATAGTATCTTATAACTATTTGTTTTTACTTTACTGTACATTGCACAACGTTTCTGGATGTTTTTATTGTTTTAAGTTTTACACTGCACTAGCACAACATACCAAACAAATGAAACCAGTTTTCAACTCGCTTATAGTCCACAAATAATAGCACTAACAGAAAAATAATAAAAAAAAATTACTTGAACCATATATATATCACTAAAAATGATAATAGTGTTATATTACAAAAGAAACATGGAAAATCTGGGCAAACATTATTCATACATAATAAACAGAATTACAATATATTAAACCAACAAACTTAATCATACTATCTCGCAAATAGTTTGCAGGAAGAAGTACGTAGTCAGTGGTCACCGATTTCAACGGCTTTCTTTTTTTTTTTTTTTTTTTTTTTTAATGACCACAAATATTCGACACAGTGCCGGGGTTCGTTCCTATGGGTCTTAGCGTGCAATAACCAAATATATGTTGCTAATAAAAATATAGGTAATTTCTTTATCCTTTCGCTTTGCCGGATTTATTGTTAAAAGAATACCAATTGATTTATTTTTCTGTGCCAAATAAGTAAACAATATTTCTCGTAGTATTAAATGAGTCATAATGTATGGTAAATTATAAAAACGAAAAGATGCTTCCGGTAAAGTAGGCCAAGAAAATTTTCGTAATGAATAAGCAAGTAACATCCGTTTTTAGTTTTCTTTAAATATAATATTTTAGAGATATCAAAAAATAGGAAATTTAATGCAATGGGATTTGGATATTTCAAATAAGGTTCAATACAAATGAGATGTTACAATCATAGCTGAGATATTTGTTGATCACACAGAACGGATCATCCGCTATTTTCCGGAGGAATTTGGACGAAAGGATTGGATGGCTTTGGATCCGTTTGATGTGAAAATTTTCCTGCCCTCTTATTACTAAAATTATTTCTAAAAAATGTAAACAATTAAATTAATTACAAAATTAAATATAAATTTAATTAATTTAATTTGATTGTATATATTTATCTTCTTTATTTAAAAATTGTTTTAACTTTGTACAAATTTCGTGAACAAATTAAGAAATACGGTATAAAATAAAAAAAAAAGGTTTGTAGAGGTTTTTTTTTTTGTATTTCTACGTTATTAAGGAATAAATTAGAAAAGTTATATATATATATATATATATATATATATAATTCAGTTTCCCAAAAGTTCTATTACCGTTGGATTGAGAAAACAAATATGAAGTCTATGAATATATTTATAAACTTTAAATGACATTAAAGATGAATACAGCTTGCTTTTCCTTTACGAAAATTTCCTTAGTCTATTTTACTGAAAGTGCTTTTGGTTTTTGTATTTTATGACTTAATTTACATTATAACTCATTTAATACTACCTGCAATATGTTTTTGTTATTCTGCAAAAGGCAGGAATGGATGTGTGCATAGAAACCTAAAAATCTGACAAAACAAAGACAAAAAGAAATAACATGCATTTTTAATTTATTTTTTCCTAAGCCCCAAAGACTAGTTGGAGCGAAAGACGGCACACGTGTCTAATATTTTTTTAATTTACAAATTTAAAAAAATTGGTGGAATCAGTGACCCGCTGACGGTGACCCCGCCTCCTCCTGGTGAGTACAGAATTGCAGGTATTTTATCATATATGTCTATTGCATATAAAGAGGAGTGATGTCCTTAAAAATTTCCAAATATATAAAGTAATTAAAAAAATTTATATTGTACAAATTTTATAAAGTGAAAACAGTGTACGACCAAAAAAATGTAAATTGTACCTTAACGATGTTAATTTAAAATAACGAAATTATGTATATAACATTCATTCCTTTGATGAGAACCTAACAAAAGTGAATATTCTTCTGAATCTGGAAACCATTTCTAGCAACGGTATAGCTAGCAAGTAGTAAACGAAAAAAAAAACATATGTCAGAAGCAAGTTTATAATTTCCAACTACAATACAATATTCCAAATACAATAATTTCGTATTATGGTGAAAATATTAGAAGATAAATGTTCACTTTATTGTTTTATCTTCACTTTTAAAAATCATTGATGTCTGGTACCTACTCTAAATTAGAGAAAGAAAAAGTTTTGGAGAGAAATAAAGAAAAACAAATTCATTGCTGAAACCTAGGAAAAGATCGTTGGATTGCTACAATTAGCGCAATATGGCCAGTTTAGAGAATAAATCTACGTAAACACTCTTCAGTGGAAGAGAAATGAAAAGGAAATTTAAATTATGATTACTTGGTAATTAAATATTAATTAGGTTAGATTAACTTATTTAGTACTTTTAAGTAAACACAACCAATATTTGTACTCAGTTATATCTACCACAAATATAAATTTAAGATGAAGATAGATTGTATACTATTATACTATACATTTAAAACATTAATTAATTAAATACATTTATTACTTATCATAGTAATATTGATAATTCATTATGTTTTCACAATAATGAAATCAATTCTATTGGTTATTATTTTTTTTACATTAACTTTTATCAGAAACGTACATTAAAAGGACCTAAATCATATCCAATATCAATAATAATATTAATCTAAAGTCTATTGTGATCGCAATGAACAAGATAACATGTGTAGTGTGTAAGAAAAGAAATTGTCTAATAAAAATAAATTTTCGTATAAAGTAAAATTTGAAAAAGTGTAAAAAAAATTGATTTATAAATTCACAACACTCAATATATTATTTAAGTTAAGTTTTTTTAAAGAAAAAATAATGAATTAAATTCTCAATATTTACAAAATCGTAGTTTTAGCATATTCGATTCATTCTATCATATAACAATAACGTTTTTGCAACCCATTGTGTTCTTTTCATATTATAAAAAAATAAAACTATGAAATTATTGAAAAAAATATAGTACATATCGACCAGTGGAATAATAACCAGTTAATTAATATTCCTCTAGCCATTGCACTTTCAAGTTCAAGGGAACTGAATGTAGTTTGACGACCAATGGCTTAGAGCCACCTATATAAGCAGGTCAAAACGACGAAAGAGACAGTATCCAACCATGACAAGACTAGTGAGTATCTCTTAGAAAGGAAATACATACATGATACCATTCGAATTTGTACATTACTTTTATTGTTACAGGTACTCCTCATCGTCGCCTTTATCGGCTTATGCTCTGCCGCACCCCAGTATGGCTACCACGCTCCAGTAGTTTCTCATGCTCCAGTCGCCATAGCCCATGCTCCCGTCGCAGTAGCAGCCCCCAGGGTTGAACCATACGATCCTCATCCATCATACTCCTTTTCTTACTCTGTCAACGACCACTCTACCGGAGACTCCAAGGGACAGACTGAATCCCGTGACGGAGATGTCGTACATGGAAGCTACTCCGTGGCCGAGCCCGACGGTTCCATCAGGACCGTAGACTACACCGCCGATCCAGTTAATGGATTCAACGCCGCAGTCCATAGGGAAGCAGGAGCACACCCCGCTACAGTAGCAGTCGCTCATGCTCCAGTCGCCGTCGCACATGCTCCAGTCGCTGTAGCACACGCTCCAGCTTATGGTTATCACTAAACATTTTGTGTTCACTAATTAGACCTTTGAATGCTAGAGTTATAATTTCAATGTTGACTATATGTGATTTAATATAATCCTATGGATTATACGATGTTATATATTTTGTATAAAAGAAATATTATACGTTTTTTAATTTCTTATTTTGTCGTTGTTTAATAAGGATCCTGTCATAAAATGAAATCCTAATTATTTAAAAAATGTAAGATTTTATTTAAATACTTATAACTTCATAATAATTGTTGGCCTGTTTTTAACATTATCAGACTTATCTAGTCAATCAGATTACCTAATCTTTTATTAAATTTTCTGTATTCCGCCTCTTTCCTGCTAAATTAGGAAATGAAAAAGAGATGAAATACAACAACATTATTTTATAATACTGTTCAATTTCATTTATTAATAAATAGGCTGTTATAAAGACAGAGTACATTATGTAAATCTATTCTTAACATCTACGGAGTATGGTAAAAATATTAGAACATGAATGTTTAAAAATTTAGATATTTTTTCTACGCTGGAAAAATCTGTCAGCGTTCTCTAATTTCTCCAATTTTCAGAAAATAGTTTGTAAATGACTAAAAGGACTAAAAACTAATTCTGACCTAAATTCTAAAAAATTGAACGCTGGTTTGTCACAGACCTGAGGAGTGCAAAATATTTCTGTTAAAACACAAGTCAGGTCATACGATTTTTATTTCTACTTGCATACGCAATCAGTAAGGACTCATCTCCCGTTTGCATACTATTTCAGTTCTTGAAGTCTTTCGAGCTTATGGCATTAGGTTTTGTTTTTTCCTCTGAGGCAGTTCATAGCTATTTAAAAAAAAAGAATTAAAATCATATAAATTACATATAATCATTGGAATATAAATATTAATAAAAATACATCGTATAGTATCTCTTTGGACATTGATATAGGATTTCCTATAAAATATATTAATCCTACATTAGTCAACTCTATTAATTCTTAGTAGAGAACGAGAATCTGGAATATCTTTTCATAACGCTATGAAGTTTGCTGTGTGTTTTGAATAATATCGTTTTTATATAAAACTAAAAACTTTTATAAACCTCTAGAGTTCTTATTCTAATCCATTTAACAAACTGATTGAAACTAACTATGCCCTAAAATGTTTTCCAACAAATATTCATAAATAGTAATAAAATAACGTCAATAACGGGCAAGAGTTATGCTTCGTGTCTACTGAAATGAACCTCTTGGAAGAGAGACAGAAAAATGCATTATATAAAAATGTATACATTTAATAAGGAAAAGATTAATAAGGAATATCAAATGATAATATAATATCATCCTTTCAGAAGAACGTAAATTAAACTTAAAATAAAAAAGAATTGAAGAAAAAAACAATTTCTTGGTGTATTTTTGAGGTCGATAAATAAAAAACTAATAAATTCTTGAATCTTTCTTCAAATTAAATCTTAATTCGACAGCTGAAAAGCTGAATTACTGCTTCACTAACATATGCATCCAACATATAATAGCTTTTAGATTTTATTCCTTTATAAGGTATAAGTAAAAAATAAAATAAAAAACAACGTTTTTATCTCATATTTTTCATATGTGATTTCTTATTCGTTGCAGATGATCTGACAGATAAACCTCACCGGTATTCCGGAACGTGTGTTCCCGGCTTATGAAAATCAGGTTTTAGAGTTCGTAAAAAGTTTTATTTGTATATAATGCAGAGTATTTCTAGATAATACTTAGTATTTATGGAATTTTATAATCATTTTTACCTTTAATAATCAAAATATGATTGGGTAAGAAAGATTAGAGAAAAAAAAATTGAAAAAAAGAACCATTATTATTCTAAGGAAAATTAATTACATCATCGTTTAGTAGCCCATGTTTCCTCCTCTTGCCTTCACTGCTTCTTGAAGACGCCTCGGCTTACTTTCCACCAGTCGGGAAATATCCCTTTGCTGGAGGATAGCCCATTCCTCCCGAAGAGCCCTTTTAAGGTCCTGCAGTGTATCAGGAAGTGTTGCACGCGCTCTTATTCGTCTTCCGAGGTTATCCCATAAATGCTCAATGGGGTTCAAATCTGGAGAACATGCTGGATAGGCTAAAACCTCAATATTGTTCTGTTGAAGGAACGTCTGCTCTATTCGGGCGACATGTGGGTGTGCATTATTGTGTATTAGAATAGAACGATCGCCGATTTTGTTGAGGATCGGCAACACATGAGGTTCCAAAATCTCATCTACATAGCGAATGGCCGTCAAAGACATTCCACGAATAACAACCGATTCTGTGCGGCACACCATTGAAATCCCAGCCCACACCATTAAGGAACCACGATGGAAAGGTTGGCTCTGGGAAAAATCAGACTTTTCAATCTAAAACTTTCAGGACTATTACCAAAGCTCCCTGGTACGTCAGTAACATTACTCTACATAAAGACTTACAGATGCCAACAGTTAATGACCACATACGAACATACTACAAACGATTTCATAATAACTTACACGGACATACAAACTCATTGATTCGAGGCATGGCCACAACTAACATGCCCGATAGCACCCGAAGGAGGCTTAAAAGAAGCTGGATGAGGAATCTCCTCCACTAACTAGAAATATTACGCTCAATACAGGAAGGACGCCGCTGGGTACTCCTCTCCCTCACGCCTATTCTAAGACCAATCTCTTCATCTTGACATCACACTCGCTGATTGTCAGAACTTCTGACAGGTGTGAGTTGAAGAATCAAGTCAAAAAAAAAAAAAAAAAAATGCGATCAGTAAGCTTGCGATTTTGAATATTTGTTGTAGTGGACGTTGAAAACTCGTTTAAACTAATTTAATTCCTTAATGTTCCAACGAAACAAATTTAAGTTCAACATTATTATTACTGTTGTGAAATTTACAAAAATGTCGTTCTTTATTGTTTTTATTGCATTTTCCAAATTTTGGTTTGCAACAGAGATTAAAAAAAAAACAATGTGAATAAAAAATTCATGGCCCTTAATTGATTTTTTATATAAAACTTATATTATTTAGTTTATTTAGATCACAAAAAAAATTATTTTAACATTACTGTTGATAACGGTTGGAAATGGTAATGGAACCATTTTGATGTACATTTCTATATCAAAATCAATGTTTTTTTTTATGTTTCTAAAAACAGAAAGAATGATCAATATTATTTTAATAGACAATAGTTTTAAAGTTATTATTGAATACAACCCATCTTCATCTTAACTTTATTCTTGTAGTAATTATAACCAAATACAAAGCTCGGTGATAACTACACATTTCTAAGAACTTCATAAATATAATCTAAACCTAATTAACATTTAATTATTATTATAAAACAATCATATATTTTAATTAATCTTTCATCGTAAGAATTCATCAAATTATTGATGGACTTCTTCCGATTTAGAATGCTTTTTTTCATCAACACTACACTTGAAATCGACTTTGCCCGTTACCTTTATTCTCAAACTACAAATCATGCACCCTGAAACATAGTTAATTGTACGATTGTTATTGTTATAGATGAGGAAGTTAGCCTATAGTTGGCAGGCCGTGGTAATTTAATTATCATTTCGTAGATTTTATCAATGAGCTTGTTTTCGTTTACTTCCCATCTAAACTTCTTCTTCTCGTAATTTATATTAGATACAAGACATCCATGATTTTTGAAAGCGAAAATAAAACAAATCGGTAGTTTATGACATATATTTTCCAGTATTTTTACCACAATTCGGAAAAAAATATGTCATTTTTTTACCTTTGCTTCCCCCGGATACTGGGTAATGAAACACAAAACAATTTTTTTTTCTTTGTGCAAAATAAGAAAAAATATTGTCGTTACTATTAAATGAGTTATAATTAATCTTGAATTACAAAAACCAAAAGACGTTTCCAATATAATAGTTCAAATAAATTTTTGTTATAGGAAAAGCAAATTATATTCGATTTTAGTGTACTATAAAATTCTTAAATATGAACTTTTACATACACTGACGCAAAAAATTCCACCCACTTGATTTTTTCATGTTTTCATCTAAAAGTATTTCTGCTTTGGATTGGTCTATTGTTATTAATGAATAAATAGGTAATCTTTTTGTTTGTTTTCAATTAGGAATGTTAATATAGAGGACAATAACTCTTAATCCTTAATTCAATGAAATGATTCTAGATTCCAATATTTACTTTCTATAGAATCACGTCTCAGACATCGTTTGCGGTGAAACCGCTACACCGAGGTGTGGAGTTCCTATTTCTTGGAGCTAATTGGTTTCAACAACGGAATGCAACAAAAAGAAAAGTTTTCAATGTTAATTTACTCTAAGATTTTGTCAAAAAGATTTTCAAAGAAAAATTAACCTCACTTTTATAAATGTTCACACCACTGATCGCAATTGATATATTTTATCATTCAAATATGTCATACATTCACTGCATAAAACTGAACAAATATTATTTGATGGTAAAAAATTTATGTAATTTTATTCAAGTAATGACACCTTTAAATTATGTTAATAGTTTTTCCTGATAAAAAATATTATACTTTAAAAATAAAAAAAATCAATTAAATTACCGACAAATGGTCAGCTAGTTCAATAATAACCTGTTTATTATTTTCTTCTTGTCATTATAGTCTCAGGTTCAAGGGGACTGAATGTAGTTTGACGACCGATTGCTTAGAGCCAGCTATATAAGCCGGTCCTAGTCACCAGAGAGACAGTATCCAACCATGGCACGACTAGTAAGTATCTCTCAGTAGAATATAATAGATCTATTGATATTCTTGCGTTTCGAAAAGTTCTTATTTACTATTATTGTTACAGGTACTCCTCATCGCAGCCTTCTTCGGCCTTGCTTCCGCAGTCCCCCAATATGGTTACCACGCTCCAGTCGTCGCCCATGCTCCAGTGGCAGTCGCTCACGCCCCAGTCGCTTACTCGAGACCAGTCGCTTACGCCAGACCCGTAGCTTACGCAAGGCCTTACGCTGCCCCAGTCGCCGTAGCCCATGCTCCCGTTGCTGTAGCAGCCCCCAGGGTTGAACCATACGATCCTCATCCATCATACTCCTTTTCTTACTCGGTCAACGACCACTCTACTGGAGACTCTAAGGGACAGACTGAATCCCGTGACGGAGATGTTGTACATGGAAGCTACTCCGTGGCCGAGCCCGACGGTTCCATCAGGATTGTAGACTACACCGCCGATCCAGTTAATGGATTCAACGCCGCAGTCCATAGGGAAGCAGGAGCACACCCCGCTACAGTAGCAGTCGCTCATGCTCCAGTCGCCGTCGCACATGCTCCAGTCGCTGTAGCACACGCTCCAGCTTATGGTTATCACTAAACATTTTGTGTACACTAATTAGACCTTTGAATGCTAGAGTTATAATTTCAATGTTGACTATATGTGATTTAATATAATCCTATGGATTATACGTTGTTATATATTTTGTATAGAAGAAATATTATACGTTTTTAATAACTTATTTTGTCGTTGTTTAATAAGGATCCAGTCATAAAATGAAATCCTAATAATTCAAAAATTGTAAAATTTTATTTAAATACTTATAACCTCAGAATAATTGTTGGCCTATTCTTAACATTATCAGACTTATCTAGTCAATCAGATTACCCAGTCTTTAATTACATTTTCTGTACTCCTCTTTCCTCCTATATCAGAAAATGATAAATAGATGAAATGCAACAGAATCATAGTGTTCAAAACCATTTATTAATAAATAGGTTTTCATAATGACATATTGCATTATGTCAATCTATTCTTAACATCTCCGGAACACGGTCAAAATATTAAAACAATAATTTTTATCTACGTTGGGAAAATGAAAAGAAAAAAATTTAAAATAATTCTGAAATAAATTCTAGAAAATGAACGTTGGTTTGCCACAAGCCTAATATTTGTGCATAATATTTCTGTTACAACACAAGTTTTGTTAACTAACTGTCAGGTCATACGATTTTTATGTTAAACTTGCATACGCAATCAGTAAGGATTATATAATTTCAGTGTTTAAAGTCTTTCGTGTATTGACATTTATGGCATTAAGTTTTGGTTTTTCCTCTGAGGCAGTTCATAGCTATTTAAAAAAAAAAGAATTAAAATCATATAAATTACATATAATCATTGGAATATAAATATTAATAAAAATACACCGTATAGTATCTGTTTTGACAATAATATAGGATTTCCTATAAAATATATTAATCCTACATTAGTCAACTCTATTAATTCTTAGTAGAGAACGAGAATCTGGAATATCTTTTCATAACGCTATGAAGTTTGCTTTGTGTTTTGAATTATATCGTTTTTATATAAAACTACAAACTTTTATAAACCCATGAGTTCTTATTCTAATCCATTTAACAAACTGATTGAAACTAACTGTGCCCTAAAATGTTTTCCAACAAATACTCATAAATAGTAATAAAATAGCGTCGATAACGGACAAGAGTCATGCTTCGTGTGTATTAAAATGGCCCTCTTGGATAAGAGAGAGAGAAATCCATTATAAAAAAATGTAAATATTTATTTAAAAAAAAATTGTAATTTTTTTGTCAAATTTATTCTTCATATTTACATCATGAAGATTAATAAGGAATTTTAATTATTAATATAATATCATCCTATCAGAAGAAATTAAATTCTATTTTAGCTTACGAAACTTGACAATCAAAAGCACTAGAGATTCTTGTTTTTGTTTTTTTAAATCTACGACTTACTCCTTTTCAGATATTCTACATTGATGATGTAATTAAAAATAAGGTAAAGTAAATATTTGAACCTATGAAAGTTTATAAAGTAAATAAAAATGTATTTGGGCCTATCACATATATTTTATGATAAAATTTATATATAATATAATATTTAAGAAAGTAATTGATTTCACTAAAGTACAAAAGAAATTTCATCGAAATCGAATCAGTACTCTATTTTCTACAGATGTTTTATTACTTTTCTACCATTACTACGTAAGGGAAGTATTGCGATTGGGTTGAATTTCCGACATGCAGTTTTCAACGGATCTTAGTGTTTCAGAGCCCACCGAGCACAAATCACATTTTCAGCTAGTCTATCTGTACCAAGATTATTTCGAGAGCGATTAGACCGATTTTGTATTTTTTTTTTTTTTTTTTTGTATTCTAGACTTTTAACTGCCAATGCATGTTAGATAAATCGAGTGTTCATTGTCGAATAATGGAAAATCGTGTTTTTCCACCCATCTACCAAAACAGCTCGACGGATTTTGATGAAATTTTCTACATAAAGGTATATACTCGTACTATGAAGAAACAAGAAAATATATTAAAGATATAATCTATTAATAATTAGTCCATTATGGTGTAGATAAATGGCATATATTGGACTTCGAAGATGTAAGAATTATTTCTAAAGAAAAAATACTCTTAGAAGAAATATTTTAGAGACAATAACTATTAAAGAATATTCGGAAAATTGCTCTAGCAGAAAATGTTTTAAATGTAAAATAAAAATCTATGAGATTGAAAAGGGGTTCTTGATAAATGCATCACCATATATAGATTAAATATAATAATTATTAAAAAAATCTTACAAAATATGAATAACCTAAATAAAGTTTTTTACCATAAATATAAAGAAAAGGTAATGACATTTCCGACAAAAGATAAAAAATCTACGGTATGTTCTTAAAACAACGTAATAGCAGTGAAAACATCAACAAGGCTGACTTAAAATTCAACATAATATCAAATATAAATATTTTTTTGTTCTGTATTCAAAAAGTAATAATGTTTACAATATAAAGAATTATAATTGTGTTTAACATACTCATGTAAACTTTGCTCGGACTGATCCATGCTAAGTCAGTGTCATAATCTAAAAATGAAACAATAAGTTTATGATCACTAAAATATGTTATGATCCATATATTGCCATAATTTTATTATGATTCGTCATTTTTAATATGACAATATTTAGAATGAAATTTGTTTATAAAGTTCAAATTAAGGAGGATTGGAAAAAAAAGATAAGGAATTCGTTCTAATTTGGTTCTCGACATTATATTTTTCTTTTTTCCTCACTAATACGGCGTAACGTCAATATATACTTTAGATGATAATCACATTTCAAAGATAATAAAATGCTGAACAATTTCCTCGCTTACACTATGCAGGTCCGATTTTCAGTTCTTCAGATATTTTAATCAATATAAAAAAATACTTCAATTAGTCGACTCCAGCCGACCTTACACGGGAATTACACATCGGAAACCAGACGGATAAATCTAATTAAATCTCCACAAAAAAGTGTAAAACGCGCCTAAAGAACTTTTCACGTAAAAAAAAAATATCTGAGCAGTTTTAGCAAAGTGATAGTGTAGTTTATTTTATACACTGATTTTTAAGGATACTTTTTTATGCCGCATCTCATGGATACTTTTTAATTCAAAGAAATTGTACTCTCATTATTTCCCTAATCATTCGTTATTGTTAAGATAATTAAGCTAAATCAACATTTTTTTTTAATTGACATGTTTAAATTTGTCTAAAATCGGTAGACAAAGGGTGTACTTGTGGACTCTAGATATAATTAACACATTTTAAAAGGATTAAAGTATAAAATATTATTAGTTTTAAACTTTACGAAGTTGAACAAAACGTTTATTATTCACACTTTTAGTAAGAGAAATTAAACGAATATTAAATCGGCACCAAAGGTGAGATCCGATGACTAAAGATTTCTTATCATTCTTAAAGTGTCCATATTTTAAAGATGTTAAATAAAAGCTACAATAATCTGTGTGTGTGTGTAAAAATGAGTTGAATGTTGTATTGAATAAATAAGAATCAAAAGCTGCATACCTATGAGTTGAATACGAACCTGCTAATTCATTCCCCTCTAGTTTTAGCTGGTTCAAGTTCAAGGGAACTGAATGTAGTTTGGCGACCGCTTGCCTTAAGTCACCTATATAAGCCGGTCCTAGCCATTGGGCAGGCAGTATCCAACCATGACAAGACTAGTGAGTATCTTTAAGAGAGGAAATCATATGTTTTTTATTTACAGTTGTTGCATATTTCGAATGTTACTTATTTATTTTCACTGTCATAGGTACTTCTTATTGCCGCCTTAACCGGCCTGGCCTCTGCAGCTCCACAGTACGGCTATCACGCTCCAGTGGTTGCCCATGCTCCAGTAGCTGTCGCTCACGCTCCAGTCGCTTACGCGAGACCCGTCGCTTATGCTAGGCCTGTTGCTTATGCTAGGCCCTACGCTGCTCCAGTTGCCGTAGCCCATGCCCCCGTCGCCATAGCTGCTCCCAGGGCAGAACCATACGACCCACATCCATCATACTCCTTCTCTTACTCTGTCAACGACCATTCTACCGGAGACTCTAAGGGACAACATGAGACCCGTGACGGAGATGTCGTCCAGGGCAGCTACTCCCTCGCCGAGCCTGACGGTTCTATCAGGACCGTAGACTACACCGCTGATCCAGTCAACGGATTTAACGCCGTCGTTCACAGAGATGCAGGAGCACACCCAGCTCCAGTTGCTGTCGCTCACGCTCCAGTTGCAGTCGCTCATGCTCCAGTCGCTATTGCACACGCTCCAGCTTATGGTTATCACTAAACATTTTGTGTTCACTAATTAGACCTGTGAAGGAACATGCTCCAGTATACATTCATCAAACCTTATTTTTCACGTGGAACCTGAGTAGCCTTAAGTTAGAACGCTATCCCATCGGTATGTAATATATTATAAACCCAAGGCATGATGATATGTTATGCATTTTGTAAATGAATTTAATTATACATTTTGTTAATTGTTATATTTTTGCTCTTATATTCAAATGATCCTGCTACAACAAATCCTTTTTAAATATTTTATAATTTAATCTTCTGTATTTTTAGTTGAAAGGAAAACACCGTTTTAATTATTCACTGTTTTAATAATTGTTTTGCCATAATTAGCGTGTATTAGGGTCGCATTAGGGTCCTCCTACTTTGTGCTGCTGAAGTTTCTTCATATGTTTGAGAGTTTTTTCTATAACCCTTTACGTATACTCTTCATATAATATATCCTGAGTCTTACCCGTAGTCTCTTATCAATAAATCGAGCTTCTATAATTTGTCTGGGTCCTTCGTCCCATAAACGTAGTAATAATTTTCTCAGTTATTGAAGGTTGCAGTAAAAAATGGTGCGATGGTGGTCAAAAAAGCCTTCCCTACAATGCATCCAACATGTGCTCAATGTGATAAAGATCATGTTCAAAATGGCACAGGACAGATGTTAAACGTTCAGATTTCAAAAATGATGAACACCTTTCTCCCTTTAAGGTCGGGTATTGTCGTCAAAAAATACTTTTGGAATCTGTGCAGATTATGGCCCTGGGTTGAATGTTGATGAATTCAAGATGATGATGAATGGGTTGATGAGTACACCTTTATAATTTCTTGAACATAATGGACTGCAGTCAGATTACTGACCATAATATCACGTAGAGTACACACATTTGGGTAGATATCGGGCCATACCATTACCCTCTCCTCTCTAGACTAAATTGAAAAGAGAAAAACTGTAGCAGTGTACCCATCTCATGTTATCAATAGTCCGTTCGGTGCCCATTGATGGTAATGCACAAATATAACTCGTATTTCACATGAAAGCGTTGACATTTGTATCCTCATCTAGGCTTCCTCTACACCATTATCTGCAGAGTCACCGGTGAAGCGCTGTTTTTGTAGGTCGTCTTAAAAAGGCATGATATGCTAAATGAACGACTTACTGCAAACGATTACGAATGATTTGTATTAATATGGGCTTTGGTAGAACATTAGAATCCTGATTTAGGATCTGCCGGGCACAATGAAACGGTTGCATCTTGCAGTAACAACTAAAGGCGCAGACTCTGGGAGAAGGGCGATCGTCTCCTCTTCAATAAAAATTGAGAGATGGCGAGAATATAGTTTCGCCTCCTCCCTTCACTCCAATATCTTAAAAGACAAAAGACTAACTTGGAGGACACACATTAGACAAAAAAGTATGGAATCAAACAGACCATACGGTCTTTTATCTAGATTACTTGACAGACTTTCAAAATTATCTTTGACTAATAAACTAACTCTCTATAAAGTTTTACTTAAACCGATTTGGACTTATAGCATAGAACTGTGGGGTTCTGCTAAAACTTCCACTACTAAAAAAATCCAATCTTTCCAATCCAAAAAAAAACTTTAGGAAGGATAGTTGACGCACCATTTTATTTCGCAAGCGATAGATTACATTCCAACAACCTTAGACACTGAGGATTTTCAGGGAGGGAGTCCACCGCCACCATATTAAAATGGAAAGTCTGAATCTATGATAACAACAATAAAAATAACAGCAAAGCTGTACAAAGAAATGCACGGATATTGTTTCTCAGAAACATATAGAAAATTTCAAATCATAACCCAACTTGTTCAAGAACTATAAGAATGTTTGACATCATAGATCGCCGATAAGTTTCAATTTTTATAAAATTTATGATTTGCTCATTACAAAGAAATTTGCAGATAACAAATTAAATATTTATTTCCAATATTATGTATATGTATTAATGAATAAGGTTGTATTGTAATTATATTTTGATATGTTGTACGTTTTACAATAATCATGTTGATTAACACTCATAATTATTTTACATAATACAAACTTCCGATATATATTTTTGGGGAGGGAATTCACTGCCACCATATTAAAATGGAAAGTCCAAATCTATGATAACAACAATAAAAATAACAGCAAAGCTGTACAAAGAAAGGTACGGATATTATTTCTCAGAAATAAAAAAAAAAATTCAAATCACAACTCAACTTTTTCAAGAACTGTAAGAATGTTTTACACCATTGATCGCCAATCAGTTTCAATTTTTGTAAAATTTATTGGGCCAATCATTAAGATCTTCAACAAATTTTAATATTTCGGCTAAATTTACAACGACCATTTAAAGAGATTTCTTTCATCTTTCAAAAAGAGAATTCTGTTCGGGGAATGCTTTATATGGCTCTTGAAAGAGAAAATCAGGCATAGAAAAGTGAAATTTTGTAACATTGATCGGTGTAACACGCAAGAATATAAACAAATCATCATTTCTATATTCTTAGTATAAGAAGCAAGAAGCTTGGTTTGGTGGAAAACGCAGGAAAATAAACTTCTTAGCCGAACACCTGAGATCGTCCACAAGGACCTAAAGTTGGAAAAATAGAGAGACACACACCAGTATGTATTTCTATATGAATGGGTGATAATTGAGAAAATATGCTTCTTTTTAATATTAAACAAAGAACAATTTTTATATTTTACTATACACAAAAATATTTCGACATTTATATTTTAATAAAAACTATAATATTCGGAAATCGGATAAAATATTTGATATCAATATGTACCACATGTGGATCTACGTGGGAGGAGAGGGGCTTTCGGGCTGAAGCTCTCCCAAAATGGTAAAATATAACCATGTTTTACAGAAAAAAATATTAAAAACTACCTCTTAATGTATTCATATTAGTATAATTAAATTTAATAGGACTTCAAGAACCACTGAAACACTATTTTATATAGGTAGTTAATTTTTTTTTCTAATTAATTATTGTCATACTTAAATGAAAAAAAATCTTTCGGGCTGAAACCTCTCCCCAAAATTAAATCCTGGATCCGCTAGTGATATGTACCAATTATTTGGTGAATTATTTGGAAAGCAATTCAATTCCCAGCAAGATAATAAAATAATAATCGAAATATTATAAAGATACATTATAATCGATTTTGTTTAGTACTTTAATAACAAGGGCGTAGTCAGACAAAACACAAAACAAAAATCTAAGAAAAGATGATCAATTTTTTAAAAATATTTTCTCGCAATCAAAGGGTATCCTTTTTTCGAATTAATTTCTTTCAAAATATTAAAATACTAACAACTAATCTGATAATTTGATAGGTAACTGAAAGTTTGAAATTAAAATAAGTTAAAATCTGTCGGGGGACGATTTTGCAAAAACCGGGGCTCGAAATGAAATTTTAACATTTATTTTTTTAAAAAATCAGGCATATAAAAGTTCTGTTGATTTCGCCAAAATTACTATCTAAAAATAACTTTTATTCTTAGCTACTCAAACAAATGACACATTGAAATAAAGGAATTCAGTTAAGACAAATTATAACTGTAATCTAATCTCACTTACAGTTTATTTCTGTTTACATACACACCTATCACAGTTTATTAAGGTAACTTTTTCTTGAAGAACTTAAATTAATACGTTGAGCCTGATCTCAGTCAAATCACCTCCTTTCACAACCGTTGACTCAGAAACAGTGCTTTCCCTAAACACTACTGAACCCAGGACCCTCCATGGGTTATAGTGTCACAGTTTTTTTTTTTTTTAAATACAAGTTTAACTTTCATCAGCCCTCTTAAACATTTTCGCAGAAATTGTTAAAATAGAAATTTTAAAACAGTTCCATAAAATTTTCAAGTCCTAATGTAAAGTAAATTTCCAGTTTTACCACTTTTCGATCAAATATCTCTTATCAAAGCGTATTAACACGAAGGTTTGGATAACAGCAGCTGGATATTACCTACTTTAGAGAAATATAGCTAGAAAAATACATGAATAAAATCCGTCTATACATTTGTTTGAAGCCATTTGTTAAAATCTAAGAGTTCTTTGGCAAATCAGATATAGCTGATTAAGCGGGTAAGTTTCAGGTACACACTCTTACTCCCGGTTATCACCATTTGAGAGAAGGTCGAAGAAGAAGAAGAAGAAGAATACATTTTTAATAAGAATAAAAAAATCTTTGTTACATTGAAATTCAAAAAACTGATTTCTTATTTCTAGCAATTTGATTATATACCTGCTTTAGAAATTTATTGATCAAACGTTAATGGTCATTTTGAAACTCATACGACGGATATCGAACTACTCTGTATAGTTTAAAAATTATAAAAGGAATACGTTATGAATAAAATAAATATTGAAATATATACGATATACGAGAATTGTATTAAAATATCAAATACATTTTCTATAATAGGTATGTCCTAGATTAGATCAGATCAGACTGTAAAACCCGATAGTTCATAAATGTACTATCAATGCAAAAAAATGAATAAAAATAAACTAATCTATCAACTAAGAACCAGTTTAATGAGATATAGTCACTTCTGGGTCAAATCAAAGAGATCTAAAGCTAGTTTGACCACCGCATACTTTTAAGTCTACTATATAAAGGCTGCAAGTCTTTATTTTATCACAGTTTTAAGTTAACAGTCAAACATGGCACTTCTAGTAAGTTAAAAATAAATTAGTGACATATATATTACTTCAGTTATAATGATTATATGTTTCAGTAATTCTTAAATAACTACATGTAACTATTTAAATAGGTACTTTTGATCGTCGCTACCGTTGGTCTGGCTTCGGCCCAGTACGGCTACCACGCTCCAGTTGTCGCCCATGCTCCAGTAGCTGTCGCTCACGCTCCAGTCGCTTACGCTAGACCCGTCGCTTATGCTAGGCCTGTTGCCTATGCTAGGCCCTACGCTGCTCCAGTCGCTGTAGCCCATGCCCCCGTCGCCGTAGCTGCTCCTAGAGTTGAACCATACGACCCTCATCCATCATACTCCTTCTCTTACTCCGTCAATGACCACTCCACCGGAGACTCTAAAGGACAACATGAGACCCGTGACGGGGATGTCGTCCATGGAAGCTACTCCGTCGCTGAACCTGACGGTTCCATCAGGACCGTAGACTACACAGCTGACCCAGTAAATGGATTCAACGCCGCTGTACATAGGGATACAGGAGCACATCCCACTCCAGTAGCTGTCGCACATGCTCCAGTCGCTGTAGCACACGCCCCAGCATACTCTCTTCACTAAATTAAATCGATGTTTCATTACTTAATTACGATTTATATTTTGAAGGTATGCACAACAGTATAATCCCATGGTATTATGCTATATTATGTAATTTGTAAAATATATGTTGTTAATAGTAATTTTGTTTATCATAAATTGAAATATCCGACCTATGTTATATATCTTACCTATATAACTCATTTTATTATTTTTTTTTTTTATGATTGTTTCATAAACTGGTAATGGTTCACGTTTCAGTTTTCTGTGTTACTATAAATAATGTTCATTGATATTTGGTGTACTTAACAGTATATTGGTTATATTATTTCAAAACACTTATAAATTAAATATTTATTTATAAATTTTTTGGGCTCTTCAACCACCTGGGTTATTTTCGCCCTATAATACAATTGAATCGATAAATACATAGGCATACATAACAAAACTACAGCTAACAAATACAATTTAAAGTTTAAAATAGTTACAGATGAACATGATAGTACAATTGAATTAATGTCATATGATAGAACAATTGAATTAAAGCTATAAAAATTGAAAGTTTAAGATTAAAAGGAGATAAGTAAACAAAGACAATTAACCTAAGTTAAATGATTTTAAGACAAAAACTAAAAATATGTTTTTAAATAATAAAAATTAATTAAAAAGTAATTAAAAAAACAGAAACTCAAATTCAGAATATTTGTATGTTGCTAATCACAAAACAAGTAATTAGTTAGAGATCCGTAGTATTAGTTTAATAAAATTTTACAATAAAAAGTAACAGTAATTAACATAAATTTATTAACTAAATTACCAAAACCGAAAAAAAAAAATCATTATCGGATGATATAATAAAATAAATGATATAATAAATCGGAAGCATAAAAAAAGACTAAATATTTATTATTCAAAAGATTTATCACTAAGAACTAAAGGAAAATAAATTAAGTATAAATATAGTAAATATAGCAATAGTATTAGTAATATAATAAAATTTAATAATAAAAATAAATAAATATACTAAGATTAAATTATTAAGCACTACAGCTTATAAAAATAATTTACATTTTCATTACAAACTAAGAAATTAATCTTAAATAAAAAAAAATATTTAAACCAATATTTCTGAAGCATTGGTATTAAAAATATTCTCACTTTCTTGTGCTTTCGAGAGAAGCTGGTTGTCATGGAGAGATTTTTAATGTGACTTATTTGATAATTTCTTATATTTAAAAAAAAATCAGTTTTCAAAAATTTGTATGCATATTACAATATATATATATATATATATATATATAAACATATCGAACAAAATTATAACATTATTATAAATATGTTATAACAAAAAAATTGATATTTTTTTAATCTCTAATACTTTAAAGAAGTTGTACGAAATTTAAAGCACTATGGATAATACTATACGACCAGCTTTAAAATCATAGAGGAAGGAGACCGAAGTCTAGAATCCTAGATCATCTGTTATTCAAGAAACAGTTGAAAGAGAAATATTTCTTAGTGGTGGTTAATTCTAAGAACTTTTAAGACAACCAGATAATAGATAATTAAAATATTAATTAAACTAGGTCATTACAAACACTAAATATAAAAAAAAATAAAACAATCTGCATAGTATATTTGATAATAATATCCGTAGGAAAATCATAAAATCAGAATTTCTAGCCCTTTATATGTTACCATCGATAGGATATACAATTAAAATGAGACAGATTTTATTTTAATGCAGCTCTAAAACGTTTTTATTTGATTCTTTATACGAATCTGAGATTCAATCTAGTCCTAAATTTTGTTTTAATAACTGTCAGCTAAGTGAGCAACAGCGGAATAATATCATAAAGCTTTTATGATATTATGAGCTATCGAAAAATTAGTATGTTAGACCCGAACCATATATATCAGCCGAGATCAAATAAAAAAAAAAAAGAAATATGATATTATTTATGTACAATAGTAATAACATTAGATCCGTTGCAGATTTTAATATCGTAAAATAATGTAAATAATCACATTAGAAAATGTGTTGGATTCTCTTAATAGTACTACTTTCAACAATCACAAAATTATATATTTTCTTTTTTGACAGAAATATACTTTGAAAGATATAATTATTTTAATTTTTAGCTTAGAGAATATATAAATATTCAAAAACACATAACTTCGAAGGCAGACATTAAAAAAAAATATATTGGGGTTCCTCTAAAAGAAGAGTGAATTATGAGAGCAGCTTCGTAAGATAATGCCAAGGCTGCGAGGATCCCGCTGGCCTATAAAACAGGGAGGATCCGGGGACAGCTCCAGTTTTTAACGAGCTTTCGACAATGACACGTTTTGTGAGTCTTTTACTTTATCAAATAGATTTGGAAGGAATGGGATTATCAGTAAACTGTCTAATTGCTTTCTATTCCAGGTACTACTCATCGCTGCCGTATTCGGCGTCGCTTCAGCTCAGCTGATTGCTAGGGCTCCCCTGGCTTACTCTAGACCTCTTGCCTATGCTAGGCCCTACGCTGCCTACGCCAGTCCCTATGCCTCCTACACAAGGCCCTACGCCGCTTATGCTGCTCCAGTCGCCGCCGTAGCTCACGCTCCAGTTGCCGCTTATGCTGCTCCAGTCGCCACCGTAGCCCATGCTCCAGTCGCCGCAGTAGCTCATGCTCCAGTTGCCGTCGCTCACGCTCCAGTAGCTGTCGCCCACGCTGCCCCAGCCGTAGCCGTCGCTGATGAGTACGATCCACACCCATCCTACTCCTTCTCCTACTCCGTCAACGACGCTCTGACCGGAGACTCCAAGGGACAGACTGAGACCCGTGACGGAGATGTCGTCACTGGAAGCTACTCCGTCGCCGAACCCGACGGTTCCGTCAGGACCGTAGACTACACCGCTGACCCCATCAATGGATTTAACGCTAACGTGCACAAGGACGCCCCAGCCGCCCACGCAGCCCCAGTTGCCGTCGCTCACGCTCCAGTAGCCGTCGCCTCTCCAGTCATCGCCGCCCGTGCCGCCCCCATCCTCCGCGCCGCCGTCGCCCGCCCAGCCCTCGCTTACTCCGCCTACGCCCCAGGCTACGCCACCGCTCTTAGATCCGCCGTCCCAGCCGTCAACCATGCTTCCCTTACCATCCACTAAATATTTACAATTTAAGTATTTAAATATATCCTAAGTCAATAAAACAAAAAAAATGTTCTTATTTGTATTATTTTCAGTTTCCTCTACTTCTACTATCTGTCTTACTTTATAGATGTAACAAGTTAATAATATTTGAAAATCATTATAAAATATCGGTTCTAGGTCAACGCAAATGAATTTAGTTATATTACTAATCAAAATTAATAAAAATGAAATAAAAATCATCTTAAGTAGAGATTTTATTATTCCTTCCTTACTAGTGAATTTCCCTGTTTTCAGCAGTGAGCTTTTTATTCATACGGGATCTTAAAAAAAAATTGTTAGTCAAAATTGAAAATGTATACCACTTATGTTTTACGATTTGTGAGTAAAAAAAAAAAATGTTTACGTTAAGAATGTTCTGGCTTCTACCTGTCTTAAAATCCATGTAAATAATATGAACCACTACCGTTTATCCAATTTTATAATATCAGTGCCGGTTAGTGCCTCTATGGTCCCTATAATACTATTCCGTATTTCATCCTTTTTGTAAAGAGCTATAATTCAAAATTGTATTTTGATGTGACGCGGAGTAGGAGCCGGATAAGGGAAAAACAATCAATAATGACCATTTTGAACATTTGGACTTAAATATCTCAAAATTAAAAACTATGAAGATTTCAGAAACCTATTTGCAGAAGTAAATATAGATATCTTTTTAATTATTCTTAAAAATATGAAATAAAATTTCTATTAAATTTTTCTTCATACTTTCTCCCTTCCTACTTCTAATTTATTACTTTATTTAAAACAACACCATTATTACAGACATATTTAAACAATACAATTTTTATATACATACTAAAATGAAAATTAGAACTGACATCTACAGCTGAACAACGCAATCTTTATAAAATATATTAACATCATAAACACATGTGAAATAAAAATCTTTACAGATGTTTCGTGATTAAATTTCAATAAGGTGCCCCTAATCTATCAAATTCCATATGTCACCCTAATTATAACCAAATAAATAAATAATCGATTTTCTGTTGTATTTGATAGTGCATTGACAGTCGTAATTAATATAGTAAAAAAAAATATTTTATACACAATTTTAATTTTAAATTTTGATTTTTTTTTTAACATATTTGAACAATTTTTATATTTCTATATCTACTAGTTTCTATAACTAGTAGTTATGCGGCTGAGTGCGAGTCGCGATGTGCGAGGGATCTCATAGAGTCCTGTCTTTCCAACCACAAGTGGGGAGAAAGGCTTGGCTCGGAGTTCACCTGAGTGAATGGATTCTGTAAATTTGTATTGTTTTCATCTGTTTTAAATGTTATTTTGATTAGTTTAGTTCATTTGTTTATATACATTTACTGTTATTATTCTTAGTTTCTGTATTATTTATTTTAAATAGAGTGTCAATGTGCTCTCTGAACACTATTACAAATGTTCTTAATCGTGACAGATTGTAGAATTTCTGAAACAATAAAAAAAAAAATAATGCTTTATTTCATATGATTCCGTCTCGTTGATGTTTGGTTTTAAAAGGTGGAAAAGTTTTTTTTTTTTTAATCAATATTGGTTCAAAAGTTAATTTATCACCACGTTAAGAAATGAAGATGGAAAGGATAAATTTTAAAAATAAGAAAAAAGTATTAGTACATCAAAATTTTAATTTTTCTGTCTTAAAATTGAGGTTAGGACCTCTTCAAACCAAACAAGCGAATTCTGAAAATGTAAACTTTTCTCTATTCGAAACTATGTGAGGAGCATAATATATACACTTTTTAATTCAATTTGAAGCAATATTCAGGAACTTGATGGTTGATATCTAGATGGCCCAATATTGATTTTATCAAGTTTTCTCAAATTTTCTAACCAATTCATATATTTTCCCGTACAAAAGCATACTCTGAAAACAGCTTCTCTCTTAGATATCGACCTCTAAGAAAAAATTGGATACCTTGAAATAAAAGAAATCATGTGACCAATTTAATCATTGATGAAGCTATCCTGGCCTTACTTGGT